GGAAAGAGGCATATTTGAGCAGACACAAATATATGGCCCAAGACCATTACATATGTAATGTAATATCAAAATATATACAAGACCATTGGTAATTTTGAAATTCTAAGTGTTTGCATGCACATCTGAGGGGTTTTACCTTTATTTCGGGGGTAAGGATCATGTCAAACTGATTGTAGAACTCCTTGGGGTTAGAGAGCTGGTGTTCCTTAGCTGTTACCAGGAACTTCTCAATTTCAACGAGTGCAGTTTCAGCTCCCTCTTGTGACTGGCACTTGTCCACAGCTTGGGAAGCTAAGAGGTAGATTCCAGCTTCACACCATTGGCTTGCCTTTAAAGAAAAATGAGGACAGAAGGACTCCATCATCATGTTGTGAAGCATTAGTTCTACTCTATGAAATACAGATTTGCCCTAAATTTTCATTAGAGAATGAATGTTACTTCATAGCACCCAACAGTTCCTGGTCACAAGTCATCTCACCTAGATGTGTAGAACAATAGCAAGTTTAATTCAGCTTTCATGGGCCAGATGTAAAATAATAATATTGTGAGCAAAGAGGAGAAGTTACTGAGGTTACTGAGGCAAATTGAACTACCCCATTTCAGTGTCCAGTCACACAATTATGCAAAACCCAAAACAAGTACTTGAACCATATCAAAACTCCCCAAAACTTCTTGGACCTATAAAACTCAGTTAAAAGTACTCCAAAGCAGGTTTTTACTGTAAAACTTTGGTAATTCCTCTTTCAAATGAGGCTGGAATAGCATGCAGATATTCTCAAAGCATTTAGCTTGCTATTCTAGCTAGATCAGAGAAAGCGAAAGCGACTGAACAAGCAGTAAACTGTTCATTTTTAAGCCCTGGAATACATTTGGTTCCCATTTCAAATTTTGGCCTAGCTTAATTTTTTCTTAGTTTTATATCCTACTTTTTCATCATTTTAAGACCATAATTATGGGAAGCTACTGCTCTGATTTTTACAATAACAGTTTCTTAATGAAATGGAGAAAAAATGAATAAATACTTTTTCTCTTAATCCAAATTACCTGATCTTATAAGAGCATTCATTGTCTGCAGAACCTTACTAGGGCTGTTGTCTGAGCAGGTTCACTCACCTTATCTAACTGCTTATGCAGCTCAAGAGACTTTCCCAAAATATCATACTTTTTCTTCGTCTCATTGGTAAAGTCATCACAAATACGCCTGAGTTCAACACACTTTGGTCTAATGGAGTCAACTGCATAATGGTTGTTTTGGATGAGCTGTTCCCCATGGACAGCTAGAGACTGGGCCTTCTCCATAGGTTCCTGTGAAATTAATGAGAAAAAAATACAAAGTTATATTTTAAAATGATGTGCTTAATGAAGACGATCCATCTCTGTAATCCCTACTATAGCCTGGAGGTAAAGGTTTGGGTCATTAGTCTAGCTGATATATCTTACTTTATACTTTATACTGATATATCTATACATTGAAGACCAACTTCATTTTCAGTGAGTATACTGAAGCACAAAATGTTCCATCTTTTCTACTGTGAGGATGACTGAGCACTGGAGCAGGTTGCCCAGAGAGTTTGTGGAGTCTTCATCCCTCAAGTTATTAAAAAGCCTTCTGAGCAACCTGCTCTAGGTGGCCCTCCTTGAGCAGGGGCATTGAACAAGGTGACCTCCAGATCTCTTTTCTGTCCTTGATAATTTTGTGACAACTGTGATTCTTCTTTGTCACATAATGGAGCCATTCATTACACAAGTGTGTTTTTCCCTGCAAAGTTCCCAGTAATCTAAAAAACTATATTATTTTCACACACTAATTGCCAGGTTTATAATGCTTTAGTTTATTTTTTATTCCAAGATGTATTTTAGAAGACTCTTCAGATCCTACTGACTAAGTACAATTCATAAGCTTAGTCACAATAGGATGAAATTAGAGGTGGCTAATGGGAATAGATAACACCAATACATTATGTGATGTGGACAGTGGAAGGAAAATGTGTGTTACTATAACTTTTATTCCTTCAGGCTTCTGCAGAAGAGCTATGCAAAGATCACAATATTTCTAAACCTTAATTTTATTCTTAAAAAAGATGATCATCAGCTTTTCCATATGTTCATGCACATCCTCCTCTGATTCAACTTACTCATTTGTTCAATGCTTTCTAGTAATACTAAACATGATGTGTATCACAGCTGACCAGCTGGTGGAATTACAAAGTCCAAATGTCTGGAAAAGATAGTTGTTGGAAGACATGGGTGTTCCTCAGACTGCTGTGAGTTGGAATAGAATGGCCTTAAAATTTATCTGGCCAAGGTAACCTGTTAAGCATTCTAAGCTTTTCAGATTCCAAAGATGGACCTAACATTTCCTGGTTTGAAAAAACAATTTTTTAACTGGATTCTAACTTTCCAAGTAACGAACTGGAACTACTGGGTCTGAACAACCCTAGCTTTTGGAAATTAGGATCTGTGTTTCGCAACTTTAAGTAATGAGAAGAGAGTAAGTGTGATGTAAGGACAGTGACAGAGAAGTGTCTGGAAGATCATGTCTATAGCAGAGAGAATACTATATTGAGTGCAAACCTGTCCTTTCTCTTCAAGTTGTTTCTGTTCCCTTAAGAGATGCTCCACTCGAGCCACACTGTCTCCAATGTCAGCAAAACCTGCTTGTGTTTCCATAAGATTATCCAATGCCAGTTTTACCTAAAAGAACAAAAAATAAAACAACAAACAAACCCCACTCAAAACCCCATCACAAGATACTCATAAAATTATTACAAATCTATGGCTTCTAAACATTCACCTACATCTTTTAGAAGAGTCTGCATCTCAAACTTAGTCTTTCAGCTCATTCCAAAATGGAAAAGCCAAGGAATAAAGCAACAATCAACTATTCTTCAGAAAGCTGCCCTGCTTCTCACTATTTATTTTGGCATACACAGTTTTGAAGACCTGTAACTCCAGAGTCTATATTACTCCAGAATCTGTATTACTCCAGCCTCTGGGCTGACAGTTGGGCTTTCTGAACTGTATTCTGTTGACTCTAGTCAACTTACCATCACATAAGTGGTATTTGGTAACATCACACATAAATACAAAATGATTTATCAAGAAGTTGTAGTTTCACATTTTGGCCTAACAGGCTGGCACTTTCCTCACTATGCCTTATTCAAATGTTTAAAGATACCTGATTGATAGCTGTCAAGAATTTAGTTTTTTAATATCCATTTCCTATTTCGTAATGAAGAGCTTCTCTCCCAACATCCTTTGTGGATTGCCAATATACTCTAAGTATGGGTAAAACTGGACCTTATTTACCAGAGAAGACTAGACAGAATGAACAAATGAAATACCTCTCTAAAATCATGTTCAAAGTGTCGAAGCTGCAGGCATTGTTCTAGTTTTAGGTGATGCTTGGTCCAAAATTGATCAAAAGCCTTTTCTGTTTCATCCAACTGAGCCAACAACCTGTTAAGAAATTAGAATGAAAAGAACTTATTTCCCATAGTTCATTTCTTTTAGGTTACACAAATTGGTAACAGAAAGCAGAGAAGGTAGTTGATGGGGAGCCTACGGCCATGTAAGAACGCTCTGTGTCCACTTTCCCTTAAGAAAGAGAGAATGAAATTTGCAGTGGGACAAGCAGGAGTGTGACCGATGAGAGACAACGACGTGGATCCACAGTGACAGTTGCAGTCCTGCCTCCTGCAACAGGAACACAGAGCTGTTCACATGCTGGCAGCCAAAGGCAGCTGTCTCTCCCTAGCTTCAAAGATAAGTCAACCCAGTCTAATGCAAATTTAATATATGCAATTATTATTATTTTAAGGATTGTTTAAAGCAGAACTCTGCAACTTGTTCATTTTCTTCACCCATCAGAAATAGGCAAGAACTGAATATTTTTTTCCAGTCCATTAAAAACAATAGATTAGAAGCTCATAATGCCTCCCATGGACATTGTTTCACTCTGTGTAAATGATGAAACATTTATTCACAAAAAAATTAGTATCAAGGTGTCATATATCTTGAGTAGAATGTCTGACACCAAACTTGTGAGTCATCCTCACAGTCAGCCAATGATGTATTAATTATATTACAAAGTAGAATAGTTTCAACAGGAGAAAAAACCCACAATAAAGTCTTCTCTGAATATTCTATATTTCAACAGATGAGCACTCTTTGGGCATGCAGAGGACCAGACCTGATCTACAAGCCCAGTGAGTGCTGGAACCATCAATTTGCTGGAGCAAACACCAATAGCTCCCTCCTATTTCTCTCAAAAACAAAGTTCTGTTTTCAACCTATCCCTGAAAAAGGTGTTTTTAATCAAAGCTAGTTGTTGAATTCAGGATGAATTCGCAAATTCCTTTGGGATGACTGTTTAAAGGATTTTAAAGTATTCAGTGAAAAATAGCAGCTCAGCTTTACTTTTGGCAGCTTTGTTTCCAGTGAATGCAGACATGCTGAAACACTAGCAGGACATTTCTCTTACCACTGCATCACATGGCACAGCAGAAACTTCTACATGGTGACTAAAAGCTTTATGGTAATAACTAGCACGGTAGGAAGGAATAGGGATTTCTCTCTCTCTATATATATATACAGCTGTGAAGGAATATGTTTCAGAGGATCTTCATCTGTTCCTCCCCCAGTGTTTTCCACAGACAAGCACTAGCATACCCCCTCTCATCTCAGTGGATTCAGATGCCACTTTCTAACCAGACATAAAAGTTCAGAGGATGTATATGTTATGGGGAACGTAAGTCCCACATTATTAAATCTTCAGCCAGGTAGTAGTTAGTGGTCCAACCAAAAATTACCAAGAAATTCAAGATGTGTTTGAACTTGCCTTGTCAGTTTAATCAAGTAACTTCCTCAAGGCTATTCCCTTCTCTGAGTTACCTGTCCAATAAACCCTGAAGTGCTGAACCAGTGGAAATTTATAACCTGCATATCTAAATACTTTTAAATACACTTGAATTTCTTAGGAATAAATTAGGAACTTGCACAAGGTAATTTAGCTTCACTGACCTTTCTACTGTTGCCACATTTTCCAGTTCATCTGGACTGAGTTTGCTGTTGGCACTTCGGGTGACTGGCTCCCTAATGCATGTCAATAAGGTGGCCCCCTGCTTCACAGCAAGTTTCAGCTCATCCTGAGGAAAGAAACAAGCCAAATAAATTGTATGTACTTATTCTAACAACGCTCACATCTCTTAGATGGACAACATCATCGTGCTAAAGGATCCTTTCATAGGTATTAAATACTTGGAACAAAATATAAATGCTTACCAAAGATATGTCTTTCTAGAAATGCAGAGACTACATCTATTCACTTCAAAAAGTAGAGATATTTCTAAGAAAAGGAATGGTATATAGCTTCTGAGCAGATTGCATTTCTGACCAGGCAACTTGCAGAATAATTCGTTCTACCACAAATTGAATGTGTGCCACTGATCGTTCAGTGAGCTGAGAGACTGTGCTGAGACATTGCACTTCTTAATGCAATTTCCTTAAACAACTCTGTGACGTGCTGAGCCACAGTACATCAGCTACCAAGGAGTCATCCACAGAAGAGGGTGTCTTCCCAGCATGAAAGATGAGCAGTGAAAAGGACAGAGGCTCAAACATTAACATGTCAGCTGAGGAGCTCCCACATCACCGTACACTTCTTGCATAAAACTTATTCTTATGCTAAGATAGCTTAAGTAGTATTTTTTCTCCTGTGTTTAACCTAAGGTGCTTTTTGACAGCAGTAATGTTTTCTTCTGAGCCTTACTCTGCAAAGTTAAACTTGCCCCAGCTTTTTTCTAAAAAACAGTCATCATCTAGTGCGATCATTCTGTCTATTCCTGGATTATCTTCACAGATGTTCTCTACATCTGCACCAGAGCGAGTTCACCATTTCTGATGAACTCTTCATCAGGAGCCCATGCTATTCCACATGTGATCCCATCACACACTTCTCAGTAGAAGTGACATTACCCTGTCCTATCATTCCTGAAATGGTTAAAAGCCTTTTTTTGCACTTGAGTCAAATTGACCTCCTGAATCCAGGTTTCTCTCCTCTTCAGTAGTTTCCAGACAATAGACTCCCAAATGATGACAGAAAATTTTATTAAATCAAAAATCATACATTGATGGAACTGTCATGAGACAACATTCACCTTCAGCTTGCTATGGTGGTCAGTGTGTGCGGAGAGGAGCTCCTCTGTGCACTGCACATCGTTGGGAAGTTCAGTCTCTGCTAGGTCTGTTCCAAAGGTCTGTAGCATCTGCGCTGTTGTTTTTACCGTCATTGCAAAGTTTTCAATAGCCTGAAAAAGTAAGAGCATAAAGTCACGGACTGGTTATTTACCCTTTAACGATGTTTCAGGCATACTGTGCTGCAAGTATTACATGCCTGTAAAGCTGGCCATGTTGCCCCTTTTCTGGGTGGATATGCTAAAAGTTACAAATTAAATTCTGTGTCACAAATGATCTTTTCACAGACTTACACATAACATCATCTCCATGAAGCAGCTAGGGAACTCCTAGAGCTTAGCAGACATAATGAAACCACAGAGGACATCAGCTTCAAAGCCAAGACTGAAACTTCAGATCCTCTGCCCATGCTTGCTGGGAAATTCTGCTGTCTTTAAATTTTTAATTAAGGCTTTATTTAAGTTGAGGAGATTCCAAAAGTATATAGGGCAAAGCCTTTCTACTTTTATATGTATACAGTCATTGTTCAATCAGCAGCAATCCATCCTCCACCTGACTACTGAAAATGTGCATCTCCATCCTGCCTATCTGCACTAGATGCATTCCAGTCACTTCCTCCCATCTGTTCATATTAGTACACAAATACAAGAACAACTTACTACAAACATAAATTCATTGGAGCATTGCTGTTTCTTTATCACTTGGGTGCACAAACACAAAACTTGTCAGAAATCTGTGATTTTACAGAAGAAAGGGGAAATAAGGAACGTTTAAAAAGAATGGATATATTGTTCAGACTTGTGAGATGTGATTAAAACCTTTGTATCTAGTAGCAAGTAACTGCATAGGATATTTTTTCATGATCATGCCCCAATTTCTTTAGAGACTGTGTTGTCCTGTATAGCGCTTTATTTATGCTTTTTGATCCAAACTACCCAATGGTTTGAGTCAGTCAACAGCACTAGGGATGCTCTTACACCCAGTCAAACACTACATGGTTGTTGCAAGTTGCATTCCCTTCTCCAGCAACGATGGGGATTCCTCATTTGCAACCATGACAGTTAAAATTATGCTGTGTGCTCAGGGAAAAACAAACTGGAGGTAGATCATAATTCAAAAGGTGCAGAGAGAAATTACATTCCACATATGTGATCTGAAACATTCCCCGGATGAGGCAATGCTAGCAGGGCTCATAGCCTTCTTCCCTTTTTTCCCCATAACTTCATGCCTGCTTTCAACAGAAGCAGTACAGCCCCACATATGCTCTGGCTTAGTGTGTGGCAGCTGTAGCCTGCTGTTCTCAGCACTGAAACTACTATTTGATCTAATTAAAGTTGGCTGAAATGTCACACTTCTGACTGCAACACAGATAGAGCCATCCACAACCAAATGCCATTTACTAAAAGCTAAAAATCTGCTCTGTGGGCAAGAAAGCTCATAGGCTCCAGGCCATTCAAGATAAGAAAGCAGAAACAAAGACCATTGCAGTGAGATTGCTGTGTCACTACCATTTAGCAACAGTTAAAGCTGTTTCAGGAAAAAAAGCAGTGGCAGAACAAGATATGAGAACACTAAGAGAAGCAGCAAAGGGGATGAAGACCATAGCTCTGCAAGACTGAAATTCAGGCTGTTTCAAGGTACCATGAAGGCTGCCCCTTCCCTGTTGACAACCTCTTATCCAGCAGAGATTCCTTGGCTGAGTGCACCACACACCATGAGCTTATCAGTGTTGCACTTAATTGCATGCTTGCTGCCATCTTCCCCTGTGTTTATGAGCAATAAATTCTTTCATATACCTAAGTTATGTCTGTTGGGTTCTTTGCAAGTCTCTGTGCTCAACAGAAGTTTTTGAAACAAATTTAACCAAAGATCTGAGGATTGCATAGCCACACTCACCTCAAATCTTGGCTCACCTTTATTTGCATATTTTACCAAACTATATATTCATGCCTTATGTAAACGCCTGTCATTAATAAACAATACAGTCTTTCTTGTGCCTCTTTTTACGTCTTTTCCTCATTTTTCCAAACCTTTAGCTATTTGAAAGCTCATATAGATGATTGCTTCAGACTCACCCCTCCTGCAAGGACAGTTTTGTATTTTTGATATTTTTAACATGTAAGCCAGTTGACCTATCTCAATCCTGATCTCACTATAGTCAGCACAGCTATAAATGTAGCAAACCAGCATTAGAGAAAATTCAGATTCTGTGTCTGTATATTTAGAAGCCTGAAACATTTGGTGGTTCTCAAGCAGAGTAAAATTTAATTTTATATGGACAGAAAAGCACAGAAGCAGGAAAGTGACAAAAGTGATTTGACATAGCAAATCTACCTCAGAAAAAGCTCTTCTTCCACGTGCTAGACCTAACCTGCAGGTCAGCAATAACAGACTCAAACCCAAGGCTGCTCAGAACACTGTGAAACATTGCGGCTACTTAGAAGTGAGCTCTAAAATACCAGTCTTGCCAGTAGACCCACAAAGACAGATGCAAACATTGCATACAGTCTCTGGGAAATTCATTCATTTTTCTGGATCAGGACCCAGCTTTGCCTGTTTTTCCTTAGATAAGATAGACAAAATTTTGGCTGCAAAGTTGAGGGTCTTGTTTTTGTAAACGGTCACCTTTCTAGGCACCATGGCAAATTGTTTACATTGTTTTGAAGCATTCACTGGAGGTGCATTAACCAATCCAAAAAGGGAACAAACAACCCTGTAACAAGTTTCCTCAAAGGCAAGAGAATAAAAACTCTTTCTGCCCCCCTACGATTATTAACTGTTCCTCAGTTACTCAAAATAAGACCCAGCTGGAGTGCATGTTTACATAGAACAGAAGTTAAAACAAAGAAAAATAAAATCTAATCTCTTGAGTATTTTTCTTCTCTTAAAAACATGGACATAATTCATTCTTAAAGTGAGAATCCTGACCTTTGATTCAGTAAAGTGCTAAAGCATATGTTCAACTTCGACCATGAGCTGAAGGCCTCCGAACCTCATCAATTATCTAAAAGCTAAGAATGTGCCAAAGGGCCTCGCTGAGTGACAATACTGTGACACTGTTAGGCCCTCGCCCACGTCTACAGTGAGATACAGATTACTACTGCGATTACAGACTTTTGAGGAATTTATGTTTGTCTATTTGAGTCATGGATTTCCTCTTTCCATGAATCCCTAGCAGAATCTGTAGGCTGAAATGCAGCTGAAGAGTTGCTACTTAATGATTGCTCTACATTGGGCATGTGGACAATTCCGGGTGTAAGAACAACACCAACACTCACAGTTCGGTGATGTATCCACTGACTGTGGCCATATTCCAGAGTTCCTCCCAGCTCCCGGGTCAGCTGACTTTTGTCAATATAGCCATGCAGATCAGAGACAGAATTTAACATGATGATCTGAAACGAATCCAAACACAATGGTCTGAGAGAAATAAGGAGCCTTTTCAATCATCGTTCCTAAGATCTGAGTTTGCTTTAAACATTTATAATCAAACTGTAGTTCCACCACAGACAGTAAGTTCTCATTATGTATTTGCTCATGCAATGGCTACAGTTTATTTCCACTAAATTTCGCCTTCTCAACATGTACATGGCCATTCTTGAACTAACCATGATTCAACATCATCTTGCTCTTCGCTAAGCTGAGAATGCAGTCATTTTGCATATGCATCAAACACAAAAGAATGGTATTTCTAATGTTCACACAAACTTTCATCAGATAATTTCTATATTTTTCTAGATAACTGTTATTTACAGAGAAATGGAAGAGCAGGCAGGTTAAACAGCTTCCTCAACACCAACCACTCGATCCAGGGGACTGCTGAAATGTGACTGAGAATAAGATTTTCCTTTCAGTTGCATCATGTTTATGGCACTGTATGTCCACTGAGTTCACTGGCATTATTCCACTTTAAACCATGATGAAAGAGAAACAAGATGTTGAGCACAAATGACTAAAAATTTTAAGCCTTAGACTCTAATATATGTCAAATGTATTACTTCACTCTGCTGTTAAAAGAAAGGATAACTGGCTATGCCTGTCAGCAGGCTCTAAACATAGAGGTCAGGAGACCTTGTTGGTGAAGAAACTCAATCATCTCAGATGAAACTGAAACTTATCTCAGATGAACCCTGGTGTATCTCCTATATTTCTGTATCCTGCTCCTGGGTAATGTTATTTAATCCAGTCACTATCCCAATAGAGATTTAACTCAGGAGGTTTAATTAACCACATTTGTATGTCAGTAAGTCATATAAATCTTGCATTTCCTGATTGTGTCTGTTTTATTATTTCAGCCTTTATTTCCTGCTCCTGTTTGATCTTCTGGCTTCTACCTAATCCAGTGTTGATTTAACCCAGCAAATCTATTTTACTGAACATATTTGCAGTCTGATAGCTCAGATATACTCTTTAACAAATGTTTCATTAACAAATGCACACCATATTCTTGAAGCCCCTTTTGAATGCTCATGTCCTGGCACTGACTTGCTTCTACTTGTGATTGGAAATACAGCCCATCCATGGCCCAGTAATAACATTAATGTTGTCACAGTGCCAAACGCACATCGTGAACAAACAACCTGCAAACAATTTAAAATATGATGGTGGTATTAAAGATAAGTACTGATACCTAATTCCTTGAGTAAGGATATCTCCCATGGGACAAGAACTCTCTCGACCCTATTCTCATGCTTGGCATGTAGGATGCTATTTTCAAGGGGGACAAAGAGATGTCACTCTCAGTAACTTAACAGTTCTGAAATTGGGCTACACAGGGGCATGCCCACATGGTCTTTAAGAATGAGCTGCAAGCACAGCTGAAAGGCCCCTCCAGAGAGCATCGCAGACCCTAGGAACTTAGGGCACTTTTAGCACAACCTTAAGCAACTTACAATAACATCAGGCGTATGTGGACAGCCTGTATATAAATCTGACAGGCTTTCTATGGATATATGGACAGGAGGCAGGCAGATCTAGCAGCAAGCATAATATGCTCTTAGTTGTTCCAAGACTACTCTCCAAGAGCTCTGTGGACGTACCCAAGATGGCTCAAAATATGAATGTCCAAGACAACCCCAAACTAAACTCATATCTTGATTTTCCTGCCTGCAAAGAAGCTAAGTTGCTGTTTAATACTTAATGCAATGCTTAACCCCCACCTAGAATTAACCTCCCTTTCAACTTTGACAGATTCAATTTGGATTTGAAATGCAACACTGTCATGAAATATGTGAATTTCTAAAAGAATAGAAGATGTTGAAGCGTTAGAAAATGCCAGTCCTTGGTGAAGTTGTCCCTTTCTGGGCTGCAGTGGCTGGCACAGCTGTTGCTATGGTAACAGATTGTGGCTCATTAAATACAGGAACATCCCTTTTTTAAGGCACTATAAAATTAAAATATCTTGTTTTGTAATCAAGCACACATTTTTACATCAATTTTGCATTTTTATTACCAAAAAGCCACCCTTGCCAAACTACAGTCAACGTTACAATTCAATCCACAAAAACCAAAAGAATATTCATGGTTCCTTTTCCTGTATTCATTGGGATAATAATGGGCTGCTGTCTCTTACTTCAGCAGAAGCATAAAGCGTCTTGAACACCTGAACTTCAAACTTAAGTATAGAGGAGAGACATGGGTCTTTTGCAGAACAATATAAAACCAGAAGAAAAATACAAAGCAATCATAGGAAATCCCTCCAGTAAAGTCATTGTGGAACATAGTCTGAGTTATTTATAAAACACTTTGAAACCACATGCAAACATGCAGCTAGGACCAACTCCCAAAAGAGCTCTCAGAATAATCTAGAACTTAAACTCTTTCAGGTTTAGTAATCTGCTTTAAATCACATTCTCATCAACCCCCAGCATATGCCAAGTGCATATAAAAAAGAAGTAAAAAACTTTGAATCTTGAGGGCATGGAGTTCATAAAAGGCATTAAGAATAGGCAATGCCATGCAAGCACTTAACAGGGACACTGTCAGCAGTCCCACGGATAATACATAAAGTAGTGCAGAATTCAGCCCTAGCCTTTCACTTCTCTGGAGTCCTACTTATGTTTATTACTGGAGTGAGAAGATCTACTATTGCCTACATCAGGGGAACGGCTCCACTGAGTTAAGATGCCAATACTTAAAAACCAAGTCACATTTTATAGTAGACTGACCTTCCAAGCAGGAACACATCCATTAAATACTGTGAAGCATCCACTGGTTATTAACTCTTGGGCATTACTATTACACTGTACAGATCCAGTTCACAGTCCCCACTTGCCACTTGCAATCAAATTTTAGTTACTGGGTTATGAGAAATTGCTGACACCTAAGAACTGCAGATATGGAGACAAAGAAAACACGTGGGCAAAAAAAATGTATGCTTACCGGTACCTTCATTTTAAAGTCATCTCGGTAGAGTTTAATGCCAATGTCAGCGATTGTCCTCTGGATAAAGCGGGAGGGTCGCAGGACAAACACCAACTGCAGGTTTCCTGGAAATGCTCCCTGCAAGAAATACAGACCTATTAGAAGGCACAACTCTCACTTTTCAGCCAAGTGTGTTCTAAAGGGGGCAAAGCAAGTAGGACTTTCTGAACCTTGTTCAGTCCATCTGCTAACGATATCAGCTGCTCCATGGAGCTCCACTGTCACAATCTCCAAAGCCAACAGAAAGACCGGCCCATTGATTTATAGCCCAGCCATACCTTGTTTTCTGATACGGATTTCACACAGAGCTCTAAAGTTTCTGCGCTAGTACCTTACCCCTTTCTCCCCCATACCTATAGTTTTTCCTCACTTTTTTAGCCTGCAGCTACTAGAGGACAAAACTGGCTACCCACGTTGGCCTTGGTGAAAGAAGTTGGTGGCACAGATTAATTCCCCAGACTGACCTACCTTCTCCCTCTGGAAAGGGTTTTTAATCTTTTTAACCTCTCGTGTTTTTCCCCACACAAAGGCACTCAATACATTCATCAGTCACGGCCCTGGCTGCAACATGCAGCCTACATCTCTCGTGCACTTCTCTGAGCTCATCAAGCATAAAAAAGAACAATTTCTAGAATAGAGCAGCTAAAAAGAACTGAGAACAAAAAGCAATTCTGTCTAAATTCCTTGAAGCAACTTAAAGTTGCTTTGGTCATCTGTCCATCCTACACCTCTGTGTATAAGCACTTGCTCCTCAGACAGCACATGTTCCTGGAAATAGATGCATAAAACCAGCTGCTTTTATTAAACTGAAAATCAGTGCTTAGCTATGACTTTTGCAAATGAGATATAATAAGCTTTTAAGAGTTTCTGACAGATCACTTACTACCACGCAGACCCAAGACCCTTGGGATCTGTTTCTTTCATAAGCAGGCCACATCATCACTCCTCAGAGCACAGAAGGGTACCTCTGTTATTCTCATCTAGGAACCAACTTCAAATTACTAGAATTTATATTGCAGTCAACCCAGGAAATAAAGAATTTGTCCTAATTCATCAGTAAACAAGGCTGTGTAGTCTGTTACTGCAGCTTCCTCCCTCTCTTAACACTCATGAGCTTCAGGGCAGGGGAAAATCTGCATCCACAGCGAGAAAATAAGAGCTAAAAATGAGCACATGAGACTGTATCCTGTGCTGAAGGTTCCGCAGATCATCTTAATTTCTAGAAGATAAATAACAAAAGCAAGCACTTACTGCTATTCGTGTCAGGGATGCCTTGACTGCGCTCCATTTGTCCCGTCGTCTGTCTATGATGATGATGAATCCGATGCTGGCAGCCTCCAGACTGCAAAACAGATGAAATAAGGATGCTGGTTACATGCAGATACTCCCGTTCCAAGGCAGTGTACTGCAGCAAAACACAGCCTCTGTCAGATCACCCTCTAAGCCCCTTATGAAAATGCAACTTACAGTGGAAAGAATGAATATTTGGCAGAAATTCACATGAAAACAAAAGCCGGCAATTTTTCTCTTTCCATTGTAAGGCTAGCAGCTTACACAAAACATGAATATTTTATCTGCTAAATCTCTCAGCTGCTATACTGCTCTGCTGCCAAATGTAGGTGATATGAACAGTTCAGGATCACAAATTACACCGTGCTGCATTGAAGGCAAAAACCTCAGATCTCATTTTCTCTGCAAAACAATTCAAGTTATTAGACACCTCACTTCAGTCGTCATTCTCCAAAAGTCTGCTGACATCTGACAGGGGCACTTAGGAGTCAGTATCTCCCTGCTGCCGCCACCTTGCCTGCGTACACAATGTCCCAGGAATTCTGGTAGGCAAAGCAGGAATTAAAGAGTTGTGTCAACTCTTGCCAACTACAAACTGGTTCTAGGGTTGCAAGTCATTTAGAAGTGTCCTTTCAACATACTGGCTAGAATAACAGTTACTGTTTCTTCTCAGTACTTTTCAAGGAGGCACTGATTTGATGCTCCACCACATCTATGTAGACCTCATAAATATCCCATCCTCTCTTTCTCTCAGAAATCTCACTTTGGTGTCCAGGGCTTCAGTGAGACTGCTCTGCTCTCTGCCTTCCAAGAGTGCTCAGAATTGGAGAGGGGTCATTGGAGGCTAATGAGCACACACTGAGGAAATCTCCAGAAACTCTGTTATAGCAGGAAGGCTCAGTCATCTCTGGACAAACCAGAGGCAGGCAGAAAGTGTATAAATGACATAACATAATCAAAGGACGTAATGCAATCAAACATCTGATCACAGATTAAGATCAAAAGAAAGCATGTAAAGCATTTCCTCTATCCCTTTTCCATTGTCCATACAAGAAGCAACCCAGGAACACAATTTTCATGGGTCATTTTGTGCAAACTTATGTCAATAATCCACTGAAGAGCACCAACATTAGCAACTCAGAGCTTCTGCTGCAGCCCTGCAGGATCAAGAACAGCAACCTGAAAGCCAAAGTGTTGTGCAAAGCTGGAATGCCATGCAAGCGTTCCTCTTAGTTCATATTGGTAACAGGAAAACTCACTGAATCTCCCACTTCAATATTTTTTACAGCATCCCTCTGAGAATTACTAAATTCAATGGCGAAAGATGACCTTTCCTCTTAAGTAGTGCAACATGCAGCTCTATGCAGAGGGCAGAAAATTCATTAGCAGCAGCACCTCTCAAGCACAGTGAAGATAATACATCAGTTTCTCCTTTTATATACATAGAAATATATATGTATCCTTCAATAACCTGACAAATGTTTCAAGCAAAAAAGCGACCAGCATGGTATCTCTGTGTTTGCTCTAGATGTTAGGAAAAAGAAGGTTCAGATGAAAGCAACAAAGAAGTTGTGTGCATCGCAGTTTGTTACAGAAAGGGTGTGTGAAATGAAACACAAATGTCTCAGCCTAGGGGCTTCCTAACCTACCCAAAAATCTGCATTGGTTTTATCAAACTGCTTCTGCTGATTGACACCAAAAATTGCTTTGAAAGTCTGGTAGGGATGAAACGCCTGGGCAAATCAGCCTCAGCTTTCAGCCCATCTTGGCTTGGAGAGAGATTAAAGGATGCAAATGGATTCAGGTATCAGAAGGTAAAGGAAAGGAAGGGTGGTTTTTAGCTTCTCCATTCCCATTTAATATCCCTGGCACAGCCTCTCACTCCAAGGAAAAGGCTGAGGTGCTGTGAACCCCAGCTCCTCAGCGTGAGTGCTGCATCCAGCCTGGGCACCATGGTCTGCCAAGCCCTGTGCCAACAACAGCCCTGGTCACTCCATTTACTGTAGGTGAACCTGGAAGCCACAAGTCCCAGATCCTCCAGCTAATACAACCACCACCCCAAAAGGCAAAAAAAAGCCACCGAGAAGCTGTCAAATCGAAACACACACTGAAATCCAGACTGATGTGGGCTGCACCCAGTTCCCTGGCCTAGGGACTTCAGGATCATACTCATTAACAAATACTTGAAAACTCTCCTGCATACTATCCACCAGTTCAGACTAATCCAGAATAAAGTTATTAAATAGCTGATACTGATAATACTAACAGTTGTCACAATCCAGTGCTCCTAAAAACAATCCCAGCACCCTTGCTGGCCTCTTGTTACAGCACAGACTCGGGTGTGCTCTGGCCCCATACAGGTGGAGGTTAGCTCTTGTATTTGCAGTTCTTCAAATGACCAGAGAAATGAGTAATCACAAGATGCACGTCCCTTCTAGTTTCTTTGTGCTTGCAGGGAACAGGATCTGATCCAAATATCTGGTTTACCAGAACAAATACAAAAAAATACTTATTGTGACTAATTATTCCAAGAGAAAAATGTTACAATTCAACACCCATGCTTACAGTGTACTATTGAAACTTGTCTATTGTTCAGAACAAAGTTATTAGTAATATAGGGAGATATGAAGGGGGAAATTAAGTCCCTGCAATTCTCCTTTCAACAGTTATGTGTTTAGATGACCTTGGAAAAGGCTGTCTCTTTAATATGCTTTATTTCTGAGAGCCATGTTAATTTTTGAGAACCATGTTAATGCAGCAGGAGAATGGGAACATAAGAGGACATAAATTGAATCAAACAGATCACCAAAATATGGCCTACTCTCCAAAGAAACAGAAAACACATACTGGAATCAACATCTGTGTTTTCAGCTCAGACTCACACAACCAGTCAGTAGGTGCTGAATTTCTCTCAGATAATAACTGGCCACATAGGATCAGGTTCAAATCTGATGCAGTTCCATTGAAAACAGTGATTTATCACAAAATGACCAACAAAGTCACCTTTGTTAGCTGAAGTTAACGAAATGCTGATGTTGGTCTAAAGAAATATATCATTCAACTAATATCAGGTTAATAAAAATGAGAAAAATCTGTCTGTCATAAAATTTATGATGTAGCTAAACCACAAGTAACTATACCCATAAGCACCATATTCACACAAGCTGACTGCACATAGAAATTGCCTTGTTTTGCCCATCTACCTGCTTTGAGAGACTGACTAAAGGCTTTCTAATAGGAGAGTACATGGAGGACTGGAGGCCTAAAAGAATTCAGAATCAGACCCTTATAATCACACCTTGGTGAGCAAACTGCAATGGAAGTAACTGACAAGACAGCATCTGCCAAAACCAACAAGTGCAACTGTGATTTAAACAAACACAGAAGTATTTGTGCCAAGAAAAACTTGCTTTTGTGCCTCAGAACTAACTCTTAAGTACCATTTTTAAAATTCCCTCAAACATGTAGATCAGGAGACACCAAAAAAGGGACCTTGGCTGTTTTTTCAAGAACATGTCCATGATCAAGCAGTTCATTTTTTCAGATGTTCTTCTGCATAGGGATTTGAAACAGCACAAAAGTATCCAGGCATCAGATGCATAAGAAAAAATAAATTCATAGATAATAGGAACAAGAGCTTACAAAATATGCTATGATAGAGACAAGAAAATGCAAGACAGAAGCAGCAGCAAAGGAATTTTCTCATTAAATGAGGTTTGGCAAGAGTGGTCATGGGGGTGGGGAGAGCTGGGAATAGCGAACATAAGGGAATAGGAACATTGCTTAACTTTTGCCACTGCAAATATTGCAGGCCAGTTAAGGAGAGAGACTGAGGAAATGAAAGATGAAATAGATACTTATGTAATGACTTGGATTTAAATATGAGAAAAGAGCAAAGGAGAGCAAAATACCACTGAGTATGCAGTCTAGTTATGGTGGAGCACTACTTGTAGCTCTCTACATACAAGACCATGAGTGCTGGCTGGCAAAGACAAAACCTACTGACCAGCCATGCCCAGCATGTGGGGCTGAGGGGAAGGCAGAGGCCAGAGCACTTTTATTATACAGACAGTGCAGGTACGATCCTGGCTGCAGAGGAGTATGAAGAACAAGTGAAAGCATGAGATCTGAGAGAGATTTATCAGGGTAAAATGAGAATCAGGCCATTAAGCAATTCAGATACCTATTGCAGTATAGATAATTTAATACTGGACTTATTACATTGAGATGAAATGGGTAAAAAAATGGAGAACAGTCTTCAAAATTACACAATTTGAAGAAGGAGGAAAAGAGTGGAGAGAGAAGAGAAGAAAACCACATGCTGCTAAAAAGCAGAGCAACTGAGCACAGAAGAAAATGTGGGAGAATATCTACATCATTCTGGCAGACTACACAAAGGCAAGCAGCAAAGAAATCATTCAGATATACACCTGTGTAAATCCTGGCTGCCACAGGTTGATGGACGCAGCATGACAAGGGTCTAAACAAGGGAGGGACCTTTGGACAACAGAAAATTCAAAATGGGCCTGTAACCCTGATCCAGAGCTAGACATCAGCATTCTGCAATGTTATTCCCTGCTTTTCACCTTGATGTTCAGGATGGTATCAGTTGTCTTCACTGAGATAAGCCAATGGTATTTGTATGGTTGGTTATTTGTTGTTTGGTTGGTTTTGGTCTTGTTTTTTGAGTTTTTGTTTTGTTTTGTTTTGTTTTTTACTTGACAGGGCTGATTTAAGACCTAAATTTAGCCAGGGAAACAGAGAGAGTGTCAGCAACTGATCCTATTTCAGAGAGGCTGCTGAAAGGAAAGGCCATGCCAAGGTCTGAATGTCATGAGGCACTAAGAGATGCATGCAGGCAAACAGCCATGGGAAGAAGCCTGGCCAAGATGGCAGCATCAGCACAAGTGGATGTACAGCTGAGAAACCCCACTCGTGTGTATATCCAGAGGAAGGGAGTTTGTTCAAAGCAACCAACCACACACGCTTTATCCACGTTTTCTCGGTGTCAGCACTGTAATATCTCTGCCCTCATTATGGTAATGCACTGGAGTTTCTGCAGTTCTCTGAAAAGAGGGATCTGAAGACAATCTTGTGCAGCAGATAAACATCAAGCTTACCTCCAAATTAAATTCTGGCATATTTGCCTAGATCTACAGATGTCTGGCAGAGAGGTTCCCTTTCACTGAATGAAATGTGTGCAATCAGCAGAGCTGTTCCATCCTTGGCTCTGAATTCAGGTTAGTCCTTGAACATCGATTTGAGGAGGCCAGGAGATGTTGAATTTCCTGACCTCTTTTGGAAGGAGAGAAGGACACCTGATTATTGAAGCAGTTGATCCATGTCAATTGGAAGAGAGAGGCATTCATTCCGGCCATGGAACAGAGCAAGTGAAAAAGGGCTTTCTGGAGCTATCTATTGTAAGTGTGCACGCGTAGATGTATGCACGTGCATACACCATATTACTCAATGTTCGTGGATGTGCCTGTATGTAGACCCCTTGGTGGTGAACTCTCATGAGCAGGTGTTGAACCAGATGGAAAATTAATCAGATTACAAAAGTATCACTGGGCTGGTCTTCCATTCTGGACAGCAGTTGTTTTAAAGCCCAGAAGTGCAAGGTTTACGTACAGCCCACCCCAAAATACTGTGATAGGCCACAGCTGGTAAAGCAAATTTGCTCAGCAACAAAGACAAGTGTATGCCTGTGCATCTGAATAACAACATTTGCTGTCTATCTTTATCTTTTCAATGTCTTGTCATATGGGCACATAAGATCAATCATTCCAGAGGAACTTAGAAAGTTACTAACTCACTGATGTAATCTGTGATCATTGACCTTATCTCCACAACTGGCATGAACCTTATTGCACAGGATATTCAGAGACAGACACTAGAAAAGACAGACTTTCTCTCTACATTTATCTGAAAAATGATGCTGATTTCTCTGGTTCACTGAGAAGGAAGTATTTTCTATGGGTGAACAGAATGAACTTCTTTTCAAACTATACTTGATCTTACCTGATTCATGGCCATACCCTTTGTAACTGCACAAGAGTTAGAGACTATTACTTTATCTTCTCTTTGTTGATACCTGCACATCTTCCTTGAGAACTGAAATAAAAGGTGAACTACTAGCAGTGAAACAACATGTTCAGGAACATTGTTGTAATACAGACAGCAGTTTTTAGTACAGTAATGCTGATGAAAGTAACAAATGCAGCTCCTTTACTGCTTGCGGAGATGTATGACAGAGATACTGTGCATGGATCAGCCAACTGGAGATTAACAAGGCTCTGCTGCACCCAGATGGGTCCCCTATTTATGCCACACATTAAGATTGTACTTTATCTAATTATATCATAAATCACATAAACAAAGCTTGTTGCTCAGGTTCTTCCTCTTCTAATTTAATACCTTCGTCCCTCACCATCTACACAAAAGGTGGAAAGTTTCAAACAGTGACTCAAGAAATGCCACCAAATTTTCTAAAAGCACTGCAACAAAGACTAGCAAACTCCCTGGAAAACTCACATCCCTACAGTGTGGCCTATGATTGAACCTAACAGTCAAACAGCTGTGCTGGTATGCAGAAAACGTAGGTTCAGACCCCAGCCTGTCAGTGACCTTGAACAGGTCATTTAAATCAAACCGAATACTCACTTACTCAAACACAAGTTTTGGTGAGCCACTCTGTAGTGTAAGATATTACTTACATATACCTCATCATCTGTCAAATAGGCATATTGCAGCTCTCCTGACTTAGGAAGTTTTGAAACAATTCATTGTTCTTTGCACATTGCTCTGGGATTCCTCAGGGGAAGAGAAAACACAAAAGTGATAAACTGAATCAAAGCAAAGGCCCATCTAGCCTAGTACCCTGTCTGCAGTGTTGGTAGGTAGTGAATACTGAGGCAAAAGCAGAAGGAAAGTGAGAAGGACAATCTTGCTCTTGGCACGTTCTTCCAAGTCCCTGCATTAAGGAATATATGGATTTCTTCAGACAGAGTTTGCATCTGAGCCATTGTGTTCAGCTGCCACTGATGGAGCTATCCTTCATGAATTCAGCTAATTTCTTTTGAACCCATCTGTACTTTTGGTATTCATGCAGGCTGAAGAAGCATAAAGCATTTCTGTCTATCATGTTGACAATGTAACATGCTAGTTCCCCAACATGTGCCAACATCACTAGAAATCACCCACCAGCATACCAAATACAAAGAACTGGAAAACTAGTTTTGTATTTTTCTCATCTACTCTTGCTGTTTTATTAACCCTGAAGCAAGTCATCCTCCCAGTCCTGAAGCTAGTGAAGAAAGACGCAAGACAGAGTTTCTCCTGGCAGAACAAAAGCTCTACAGAGCAGAATGAAACAATGAAGCTGTTAAGTTCACAGTGTGTGGTTTCTCTCAGCTTGCTTTGGCAACTCAGTATGGGGAATACATGTAGGTGGAGCTGGAAAACGTCTTACTCAAACTTGAAGGAAGCACGTTTCCCCCTCATCATCCTCTAAGCACCTTTATACACAAGACCACAGGAAATAATAAATCCCTGCTGTGCTTCTAACTAGCACAAATAGCCATGGTCCAGAGACAGGATCAGGGGATTGACAAAATTTTAAGCTCTCTTTCTGTATAAACAGAAAGCAATTCAGCAGCCATGCCTTAGCGTATTTCCTCAGAGCAGTGGAAGTGAGTTTGTTTTGCTATCCTTGCACAGCTGCAGGCAAATGGCAAGGAAAACATCCTAGCTGTGGAGAAATCTCCCAATAAATGAAGCATCAGAAAGCACATGGTGCTTGCCAGAATCCTGTCAACAGGGCACCTAGCCCTGTTTCTCAGAAAACCTTGTACGGAAAGATGCACTCAGAGAATAAGCAGTATCAGGACCTCTGTAAGTTTGGCTCCTTCCAGATGCAACCCTTCCCTTCTTATACCCAGTGTCCCTGAGAGTTTTCAGAAATGGCTCCTCTTAGCTGCCTTTTGATCTACTATGTTTACTGCTGCTTTTCAGATCCATGTCCCCTCCCACCCAGTTCAAGCTCTGAACAGAAAACCTGTCCTGTGCGAAGCTTTCTTTTCCGTGCAAATAATGGAAGTGGTTCCTAGGGCCTCCTGTACATAGGGAAGTTTCATGCTGACTGGATGGATGCAGAGGCACTGGTGTATCCTAGTAGCACTACTAAAGGCAATGAGCCACTGAGGAAGCAAAGCTCTCTAGAAATTCAACAGACATTTGTGCTCAGCCTCACCTGGGAATGCTGGTTAGGTATGTGACCACGTTCAGAAAATCTTCATCAGGTATGTCACTGAATCCTGCAAATTCTGGAAAGGTGATAATGGGTGCCCCATCCTTCCCTCTTCCTCCTGCAAGAGAGAAATTGTAAAGATTAGAGAATGATTTTATGCCTTTGGAGAGACAGTTCAGTACACAAATGGGAAACAGTGAGATACTGCTCATTGAAAAGCACCCAGATCCAGTATACATGTGATCAGCTTCCCATTTGATGTTATAACTCACTGTAGTTTCAGTACCTCAGTTCACTCCAGCTGAGATTCTAGTCTTTGTTGTTTATTCTCAGCTTTTTAATAAACCTTCTGCATAATTCTGATTAAGTGCTTTCCTTGATTCTTTGTTTCCCATTTCCAAGCAATTTCCTGTGATAATATTACAACATTTCTCTATATATAGGTACAGCACTCTCTGACTAAAGGAAGACATTAAAGGAAATGAAGTAATAGAGCATACAAATTTTGAATACACACATACAACCCATGACACAGGCCTAGGACTAATCCACTCTTACATCCTTTCTTAACAAAAAAAACCACTCAAAGTGCATGGAGTATTTAATCAATGAGCTTTGCTCTTGCCTTGTTCATTTGCATAAAGCCTCCATTAAATAGCACAGGAAGGTTAAAAGGAGCAAGGTCAAGAAGAGTCCTTATCTGAGGGCCTCCCTGATTCAAACAGCAGTATTCAAACTCTGGTAGAGCTGTGGGAAGCATGGAGCCGAGTTCCTTATAGCTGAGCAGCTCTTACAGTTTTGGCAAAATGCTCAGCTCTAGGAGATGTAGTACACAGCACACACCTTCTTTACTTGCAGGATCAATTCTAACTTGGTTTTGCTAATAAACCTGGGCTTCACTCAAACCACACAAAAGTTAACAGGAGTTTTCTCACCAATTTGGGCTCAGAGCTGAGAGCAGACTAACGAGGCAGTGGCACATAAAGGAATACGATGAAACAAAGCTTTTATTACAAGTATCTTATTGCTTAGTGCTGCTTAGACAGAGCATTAAGGACGTGCTTTTACCTGAGTCTTTCTCCTTTGCAATCTCTATGTAAGCCTGTTCTTTGCACCAGGCTGAGGAATTCTCTACCAACCCAATACTGAGCCTAGTCCTGCAGCACACACAGTTTTCCTACTCATTTATCATCCGCAGAAGATACTTATCCAAGTAATAGCCATGCCCTCGGTTTCCCCTTAGTGAAGGAGAAGTTGTGCGACGGAGTTATTTTTCTCAGTGAAAATATCCAATAAATTATCCTATTAGGAGCATGGGAGGAAAGAGACGCAGGGGAAAAAATTAGTTCTCATTCCTCAAAAGTACCCTTTACATTCCCATAAATAAACCTTGTTTCCAGGCTGCTCCCATAGATCATTGCCTTTCCCTGCTGATAACCACAGGGATAACTGATAACCAGTTGCTCCTGCTCCTGTTTTGGTGGTCATTGCAAAGAGGTGCTCAAGTGATTCCTAGCTATTTCTGTGTAGGGTGGTCAGTCCCTTGGTAGTTCTGATCCTGCCTCTGCCCAACCATCCCATTCTCAGTTGGATTATTTAAGGTCTCTTTTGTGCTGTCCAGCCACAGAGAGCTGGGATGCTGAGGAACACAATGTTTGCATAAAGCAAAAGAACTCCAGAAAATAGGAATTTTGAACAAGGAAGCCCATTTACTTCTTGGCATCTGGTGATGTGATGGCTTGGTCAGGACACTACCTTTAGCCCTCATTTTCCTTTCTGAAGGCTGATTATTGCTTTATTTACATCTAAAAATGACTCCATTGTGTTAGATCATCCACTAAACTCACCCTGCTAGGGAGAAAACAGGCTTACAGAGATTCATAAGGCTTTCAGCCAAAATGCAAAGAAGGAATACTATGGTTCACACTGCACTGCATTGGATTTCAAATGCTGAGCAGAGCCATGGGCTCCACATTGACCTTTACCATTACCTTGGGGAAAGGCCAAATGCTGATGCAAGGCAGCTTGGTCTCACGGCACTCCAGCTGCACTGTCTGCAGTCAGCAGTGATACAGAAGATGCTGTCAGGCAAATTCAGGCAGACTTTCCCCAGACTGCTGCACTCTAGAGACCAGGAACTCCAACCAGCGGGTACCCAGTTAGGGTGGTTTGTTACAGATACTTAGTGACATCTTCTGGACGCAAACTGTAACGGCCAGGAAACTGAAATGGTAAGCTTTTCTGCTCTGTCTCTTCTTGCAGAGTTCAATGCATGCCGAGTATTTCATAGACAGCATCTGGTACGCATCCACATGGTTCCTGGGAACCAAGCTTTTACATTCACATATTTCAGATATGTGAAAATACACTAAATGAGGGGGGGGGGGGGGAGTAACCTAGAATACTTTAGTTTAGAGCAGAAATAGTTGCCCCTGGAGGAAAAGATAAATATTCCTGGGATCCCCTCCTTCAACAACTGATAGTTTACCTGCAGTTATAATCAATATTTGTTTAAAATACACGTTTCTGTGGCACTTCTAATGCTCCTGCTACCAGGTGTAGGATGCTCTGCGTCAGTGAAAAAAAAAAGACCTGACACTTGCCCTGCTATGTGTGTACTTTGGTGAAAGAAAACTACTAGATATGCTAGAAGGTCATGCTGTGCCTTGGTGTTGGAAAACACTCTGTACCAGCTGGGCACAGACAGAGAGAAAAATAAAAGACTGATAAAAAGAAGACAGTGTTCTTATGAGATAAAAAATATTTTGCTAAGCTAGAAGGATCGTTGAGAAAGGAGGTTTAGCTTAGCAACAAATGACTGACAGTCAATCATTTATTCTATAAAAGCCCTGTCCCATTCTTGATCAGGTGGGATTCTTACACATTTCCCCCATGAAGTGTGTTTGATCACTCCTCCCCTCGAGCAGGGACACCCCTCGAATGGCTACTCCTCAGAGGTCAAGAGAAAGGAAACCACCACAGTCATCAGATAGGATAAGTAACATCAACTCCTATTTAATAATTAAGCTAGCTTTAAAATATTACTTTAGTTATTGTTCTAGATCTAGTAAATGCAAATTAATAAGTAGTCCCTATAGCACTTAGATTGTGTAGTATATATTCCGATTTATGTCCTTTAGCCCAACCACATTATTATAATTTATAATAAAATTTTGCTTTTTTTGTACACACAGTCTAATCTGCCATCCTTAAACCCATACAGGACACCAGGGTCTCTTTGTGTCCCTTTTATTTTCTCTTTCTCTTGCATTCACATTCATGCATATGCTCTTCTTCCTCTGGCCCCTTTCCCCAGAGCTAGATGAGGCAGGCTGATGACGCACTGTGTGTATGTAGGCATGTATTTTTGTCCCAGGAATTTCTCCTATAAAAAGCCATCCAAAGAATGAATGTAAGCAGACTGAACACTGACTTCTTCCCTTCACCACTGGCAAAAAAAAATCTAGAAGGACACTTAGGAGCAGTCTCAGACTGAGCCAACTAAGATCCAGGAGCATCTTGCCTCTGACTAGGCCATGCACCCTTAACAGCTCAGGCTCCATCTCCTTCTCCGAGGTGAACCAAAACAGAAGGCAGCTCGGCTGGTTCTTGAATACTGCTGTATTTCCGACAGGGAAATAAAAAAGGAAACCCTCAGTTCCTGCCATACTATGAAATCACGATGAAGTTTGAGGGAATTTTGTGACCAGAAATTGTTAAGCATTAACAAGAAGAGAGCAAGAATGTCTGAAGTGTTGGGTGACAAGCAATAACACAAATATGTTAGGAATGGGTTGTTCCTGCCTATATCTGAACATTGAGCAGTAGTTGAGTTACAAGGTAAAACAATCCATATCCATTTATCTAGCAAGGTAACAAGAGTGGATGTTAAGGGATATAAAGGAAGCTCTTTATATACCAAGGGTGTCTGGAAAATTCTCTCCCCTCTGAATGAAAGAGCAGTTCCATATATCTAAAATGTTAATGCCCTTTTTGTTTTTCCTGACACTAAACCAAGATTTGCTGCAGTATGCAAATTTCTGCAGAATGTGAATTGACAAGCTGCAGCCGTTTTTTTCTGGGCCATCAACCTTGCTTTCTAGGGAGTAGCCACTAGATTTCTTCTAGCCCTTGAAATACTTTAACTGGCTACTCAATGTCTTGAGACAGAAAAGAAGCGCTGAACAGCGTGAGCCACACGAACACAGCACAAAGCTGAGGGGTTACACTACGGCTCGCTGAAGCAGCTCTGCTCTATTCAGCAGTGCCTGTGCAGCAAGATAAGGGGGCCCAAGGACTGCCAGGAGCAAAGCAGCTTGACGAAAAGGCAGAGCAACATGAGGCACAAGCTAAGCTAGAGTCCCATGAGAGAAGCGAGCAATGACTTGAATTTAGTGCAGTCAGGAGAAACACTGAAAAACAGGTATCAGCAGCATGGCCATGCTTCATGCGAGGCACGGGCCTCCGTGCCGCTGACCTGCAGCTCCTCCAGGCGCCGTTAGATGCCACCGTGCAGCACTCTGCAAACAGCACAGCCACCTCCACCACCTTCTGGCAGCTCCAAACGCTGGTGCCAGGCCAGGGAAGGAGCAGCTGGTGTCAGCAAGCAGCAGCCACCAGAGATGAGGTTCAGCTGAAAGGAGGGGAGGCTCAGGGCTATCCTATGGCTGAACTAACAGGAAGCTCACTCCTGAATCTGCCTTGAGGGAGCTAGGCCACCTCTGGCAGCCTCCCATGGGTCACTGCTCCCCAGTCAGACCCCTCTTTTGCCTGCAGAGGAAAACTTAACCAGATTTTGTCTACCATCTCTTGACGCAAAGCTGATCTCCCCTCCCAGATAGCAACCACACAGGCTGCCAACTTGATTCAATTTCCTTGAAGAGGTCCATCTCCTCTCTGCTTTCTACCTCTGCAGATAGCTACCTGCCTTGCATCCAACCCAAACATTGTGTCAATGGTATGGACCCCAGCTGCTTAGGGAAGGGCATTCTGATTAAAGATACTGATGTATGATCCAAAGTGAATTATCAGCAAGCAGTTATATCATTTGCATTCAGGGTCACACACAGGGGTGCATCAGACTCAACAACTTGAAGCACAGCAGACAGCATCAGCAGG